CTACCCAGGGGGATAGCTTGAGGCTCCATCTCAAAAAAAAAAAAAAAAAGAAACCATCAGTGTTAGAGAAGACTTGTACAGTTGCCAAGAGATATATGCTAATCTTCCGGGATTAAAAACCACAGAGGTGACTGATGCTGAGTTTTCTTCATAGGCTAGCTAATAGGAGCTTTTATTCCATGCAGATCCTCCCAAAGGATGCTGCTAGATAAAAAATACCAGCAGTTATCTCAGCACTTCTATTCCCACTTCTCTTACTGTTAAAGTTTCTTTCTGTGAGGTCAGGCGTAGGGGTCCACACCTGTAATCCCAGCACTCTGGGAGGCCAATGTGAGTGGATCGCTTGAGCTCAGGAGTTTGAGACCAGCCTAGGCAAGAGTGAGACCCTGTCTCTAAAACTAGCCAGGCGTTGTAGCAGGCGCCTGTAGTCCCAGCTACTCAGGAGGCTGAGGCAAAGCAGTCACTTGAGCCCGAGTCTGAGGTTGCTATGAGCAACCACAGCACTCTACCCAGGGTGACAAAGTGAGGCTCTGTCTCAAAAAAAAAAAAAAAGAAAAATTCTTTATAGTATGAACAAAGTAGAACAACGAACAGCAAAGACTCCTCCACCTGTGGCATACATCTTCCGTATCATGGTCTCCCACCCAGAGAGTCTCGTACCTTCCTAAAACGCAAAGATTCACTTAACTGTTTTTTTTTCTTAAGAAAAGCAAGACAGTGTTACCCAATATGACTCTTAAACTCTTCTCAAAACTTCATTGCAAAGGAAATGAAACTATTAAAAGACCATGGCTCTGTAATTCAGGAAATTGAATCAATTTGTTTGGAGCCATAAGCAGAGGAAGACTCAGCTGTGCTGAGACATGTACTGTGAGACTGCACAATGCCCTGCTCTGAAAGGATTTTACCATTCAGAGCGGTCATGAGCTTTCTCTTTACAACCATGCACCTCCTCAACTGTGTGTTTTTATTTACTACCTAAAATTATAGTTCTCTTCACAAAGTGAGACTACTTTGTCAGATGTTAGCAACTGGGGTGATTTTTTAAAACTTTTACTTAAATTTTCATTAACATTTCTATAATACTTGTAGAATGAATGTCTTTTTACTCTGTAAAAGATATATATTTTTTTTTTGAGACTGAGTCTCACTTTGTCACCTTCAGTAGAGTGCTGCGGCGTCACAGCTCACAGCAACCTCCAGCTCTGGAGCTTAAGCGATTCTCTTGCCTCAACCTCCCCACAGTGGTGCCTGCCACAATACCCGCAACAGCATGCTACCAGGTGACAAAGACTTTGTCTCAAAAAAAAAAAGAATAGCCGTCACTGCATTTTAGATTCTAGATACCTGCTGTAACAGTAATGAACTGCTACAGACCAAGCAAGAATGACACCTCATTTATTTTCTAAAGCAAATTGAATCTAACTCCAAGCCCTCTAGAGTTTTCAGGAAGTCTAATATCAATGATTACAAGCTCTCTCTTTTTAAGAAAGTTTATTCAAAACTTATAAATAAGGTAGCACAACTACTGTGTGTCTTTTCAGTATCAAACTAGAACCCTGTCAGACCTGGCCATGTGGTAGCACCTGTGCTTACTGAGCACTTGAAATGATCCTAGTGTAGCAGAAGAACTGAATTGAGATGTGCCATAAATGTAAAAAACACACTGGAGTTTGAGGACTTAAATCAATAACAAAAAAAAACCTCAATAATTTGATAATATTGTAGACACAGTGGTTTAAATAAAATATTTCATCAAAATTTACCTATTTTTTTAACTTTTTAAAATGTGTTTAGTAGAAAATGCAAAGTTACATTTGTGTCTTGTGTTACGTTTCTACTGTACAGTACTACCTGAGTTTCTGAAAAGGTAACTTTGACTATTGACTCCTGATTGGGGTCTAGATTGTGAAATTAGATGATTAATAAGTTTCCAATTATTTCTGTTCATAACCAAAGAATAACCCCCAAAGTTTTGATTTTATGGCCCTGCAGGACATAAGTTTTGTATTTAGCTTGGTAGATTACATCTATATATTTTTTTTTTTTTTTTTTTTTTGAGACAGAGCCTCAAGCTGTCCCCCTGGGTAGAGTGCCATGGCATTACAGCTCACAGCAACCTCCAACTCCTGGGCTCAAGCGAGTCTCCTGCCTCCGCCTCCCAAGTAGCTGGGACCACAGGCGCCCGCCACAACGCCCGGCTATTTTTTGGTTGCAGCCGTCATTGTTGTTTGGCGGGTCCGGGCTGGGGATTCGAACCCGCCACCTTAGGTGTACGTGGCTGGCGCCTTAGCCGGTTGAGCTATAGGCGCCGAGCCTACATCTATATTTTATTTTTCTGAATAGTTTAACTAGATTTACCCCTGATACAAGATTTTGTAATGGGAAAGCTTTTTTCTCTTTTTTTTTTTTTGAAACAGAGTCTCACTTTGTTGCCCTCGCAGAGGGCTATGGCATCACAGCTCAGAGCAACCTCAAACTCTTGGGCTTAAACAATTATCTTACCTTAGCCTCCCAAGTTGCTGGGACTATAGGCGCCCGCCACAACACCCAGCTATTTTTTTGTTGTTATTACTGTCATTGTTGTTTAGCAGGCCTTGGCCAGGTTGGAACCCACCAGCCCCAGCGCATGTGGTCAGCACCCTAACCACTGAACTACCAGGCACCAACCCAGAAAACTCTTATTATAAGTCAAAAGTTAGATTACTTCAGTGTCTGGAAATTCTCTAGCTCTTTTTGTATTCAAAAAAAAATGATTAGTCCTATTAATCAAATGATATAATTGATATAAATGTGTTTCTCTCTGAACTCTTTACTTTACGCCTGTGTTTAGAATTACACTTCATTCTGCTGTTTCGTTTTGCTTCCCTAAAGGGACAGTAAAAGGGAAGTGAAAATTGTGAATAATGCTAATACTAAATAACAAGTTTTTTTCTTTCACTTTGTCTGCTTATGTGTTTACATAAATAAAAGCAGAGGCACTATGATAGGCTTTAAAATTCCAGACCTCCATTCTCAAAAAAAAAAAAAAAATTCAGGTCCTCATTCCCAGCACCGGGCCCAGGAAATGTTTTACCCTGTACTCTGGAGCATGAGGTACCCTCCCTTCCACCATCCACAAGGAAGAGATTTGGGGGGTTTGGGGGTTTTTTGTTGTTTTTTTTAATCTTACGAGCCCCTCGTAAAAGTAGCCAAAGCTATTTGACAGTAACTGTGCTTCTATTTCTAGGTAGACAGATCCCCTCTTTGTAGCCCTCTTGAACACGAGCTTTGCTAGGCCTTTTGAATCACATTTGGGATAGGATAACAAAGAGGAACGTGTTGTATATTCCACATGGCTATTTTTTGTTTGTCTGTGTTGTCAGCTCACTCCTGAGAATCTAAGAACAGTGTATCAGACCTGAAGTTTTAAGCTCCAATTCACTTAGTAAATACATGCCACCGAGCTGTGGAGCACAGCCAGGAGAAGCATCTCAACAGAATAAAGCTAAGGTCCCTCTCCCTTCACCTCTACCCCTTTTTCTTTTGCATCTAGAGATTTAGAAAACTGCTATGACCATGAATTATTAGGCATGATGTTTTATTTTATTAGGTTGGAATGAAATACAGAAACCTAATCCTGAAACCTGGGGGATCTCTGGACGGCATGGACATGCTCCAGAATTTCTTGAAACGTGAGCCAAACCAGAAAGCATTCCTAATGAGTCGAGGCCTGCATGCTTCGTAAACTGGGGATCTTTGGTAGCAGTCCATGTCTGGAGGACAAGTCGACATTGCTGTGTGTTACTGGCCTGGAAACTGAAGGGAGTTTTGCAAGTGAAAATTTAGATTTTTATTGACTTTTGTTTTGTAATTTTAAGAATTATAAAGATGTAAATGAAATTATAAATATTGTGACCTAAGAAAAAACCCACTAGAAAGTAGTTGTACCATAGAATTTCATAAGAATGGATTTGATTTCTTTTTATAAAAGTTTCATATGAATCTAATTTGATTTTTTTACTATAATTATCTAAATAATATAATGTGAGAGGGCCAAGGATTTTTAAATTGAATCATATACATGACATTATTTGATCCTCTTGTATCTTGATGTTTTGTACTTGGGATTTCTGGACCGATAAATGAATCATCACATTCCTCTGATAAATATTTTCTCAGAGCCCTGTGTCAACTTTGTTCCTCCGTCTCACAGCAAGGTGTGACTGCTCCTTTGCCTGCATACCTCAAGGCCAGGGGAATACGCCTCAGTAATGCATTTATCTTTGTATATCAGACCTCAGGATCCCCGACTTTTGCCACACTTAAATTATGTTCTTCCTGTTGGGTTTGTCTTTTCTGTCTAAAGTCTAGTCAGAGAATTTATTTTAATTACGTGTTTCAATTAGACTGGTCTAATGGATATTGCAAGTTTTTATATCTTGTATTAGAGAATTTTGTATCTTGTATTAGAGGCTCATTTCCACTTCAGCAAGTCTTTTGGCATATTTACCAATTAGAACACTTTGGCAAGTCCAAGCATATTTTTCTGTTCTCTCATTTCTAATAAGCAGTCGAGACTTAGCCTCCTTTCCTGTCCATATCACACAAAGTGGCAGGTAGACAGACATGTCACAGGGGCTCTATAGAGTCCATGGAAGACAGCTGAAGCTGGGTGGAGCATAAGGAGTTCAGAAACTCCAGAAGAGGAGTGAGTTCTGGGCAGGAGCATTTGAAGACAGCTGCTTTGAAGTGTTACATGTGTGCTGAAAGTCAACCATGGGAAGCAGGCTCTTTATAGCCTATTTTCTCTGGTGATAAGTGAATCTTTGGGTCTCTCCTTAACTTTCTCTATTATGGGCCTAAGTTCTAGTTCTGCAGCAGACCGGTAAATTCACAGTATTTACTTTTCCTTAAAGAGTCTATTCAATAAGGAAACTGACCAGGATAATAAAAAATTTTGAATGTACTTTGCATAGGTCTTCGGGAAGTTTTCCAATGCATACCTGAGGCATGACTTTGCTGGCTGGGGATAAACTTAGAATCTCCTGTTCTGTAGTCTAAATGGACTTTGTGCTAAATAAAAAATTATTATGTTACATAATAAAATTATAGACAGCAGGGAAAATCAAGAGCTATCACAGCACAGAAGGAAATTCTAAAATTTTTATTGCCAAGTAAAATACCTTAAACATCCATGGGAAATCCTATCCTCCCTTCTCAGACAGTTTGCCCAGCCCATCTCTACCCCACAGTCCGTGTTGCTTCTTCTGGTCCCCAAAGCTGTTTTTTGTGATCTTAGCAACCTGTGGTAGTTTTCTCTTATCTTTTTTTCCCCAGATTCTTCTATTTTCCCCAGACAGGAAAACTCTCTTCAGCTTTTTCTATTGCCCAGTATGTCACCTTGACAATAACTCTACCATTTCGAATCTCATTTCACGTGGAAAAACTAATAATTGGTGTAGAAAAGGCTGCACATAATAAACTTACATTATTATCATGAGAATGAACTGGCATTTCTTTCACACTTCAGTGTTAAAACTGAATGCATAAGAAAATAAAAGTGTTACGGTGTTCTTTTTATTTAGGGTCTACCTCTAATATTTAAAATCTACCAAAGAACGGCTCGGCGCCTGTGGCTCAACCGGCTAAGGCGCCAGCCACGTACACCTGAGGTGGCGGGTTCGAATCCCCAGCCCAGACCCGCCAAACAACCACAGCCCAAACCAAAAAATAGCCGGGCGTTGTGGCGGACGCCTGTGGTCCCAGCTACTTGGGAGGCGGAGGCAGGAGACTCGCTTGAGCCCAGGAGTTGGAGGTTGCTGTGAGCGTGATTCCATGGCACTCTACCCAGGGGGACAGCTTGAGGCTCCGTCTCAAAAAAAAAAAAAATAAAATAAAATCTACCAAAGAACAACAAAATTAAGTACTCACACACACACACACACACAAAAAAACTTCAGCGTAATTCAAAAGTAATAATTTATTTTTTAAACCCTTTTTGAAATTGGCTCTTTATCTACTTGTTCTCTTTTCCAGATGAGAACACAGGGCGTCACTGAGACACTCTGAATTGTGCATAATCATAAAAATTGTTATTTGTTAAACTTATGCTTCAGATTTATGGACTGAGTCCCATGTAATAAACTGTCCCTTGGTTATTAATCCAAAAGACGTAGGCCTGTTTCAGGTTTGTTTCAGGCATTGTTATATTGGGAATGATAAGTTTTTAACCATTTTATGCTAATTAATGGTAGACATGATTCCTAAAAGTTTTAATCTTAAGATGCTACAGAGAAGAGAAAGTAAAGTCCTGATGTTATTCTTCCCTCTAGCATAAATTTTGCATGTTGCCGAGATAAATATCTAAAAATCGTCTTGAAGATTTACCGCCTAAGCTACTTTGGCCAACATCTTCCCTTTCTTAAGCTAATATGATGAAATGTGGGTATATGTTGCTCTTTAGATAACAAACTGTACAAGAGGCCAAAACTGAAAAAAATAGCTCTTGAAAGAAAAAAATATTGATGTGGTATTTGTACTTGTAAATGCCTTTGCTATTCTAGTAAGGAATGACTTAATTTTCTACAATCTTGCCTCCAGCCTTTGTATATGAATTAAAGGTCCATGGAGATCCTGCCTCCGCACTGGATAGCTGGTTTGCATATGACCATTTATTCTTTCTCTGTCATACACAGGGAGAATTTTTAATGCTTTAAGAAAATTGCATTAGGCCGGGTGTGATAGCTGATGCTTGTAATCCTAGCACCCTGGGAAGCCAAGGTTGGTGGACTGTCCTGAGCTCAGAGGTTTGAGACCAGCATGAGCCAGAGTGAAACCCCGTCTCTACCAAAAAAAAAAAAAAGCTGGGCATTCTGGCAGGTGCCTGTAGTCCTAGCTACTTGGGAGGCTGAGGCAAGAGAATCACTTAAACCCAAGAGTTAGAGGTTGCTGTGAGCTATGACTCCGCGGTACTCTACTAAGGGCCACAAAGTGAGACTCTGTCTCAATAAAAAAGAAAGAAAGAAAAAGAAAAAAAACTTCAAACTAAGAAGACTGAAAGCCAATTGAAAAGCAAATTTTAAAAAAGAAAATTACATTAAAATTCTGTCTTAGTTCAGGGTACTCTTTTATTTTATTTTTTTTGCAGTTTTTGGCTGGGGCTGGGTTTGAACCTGCCACCTCCGGAATATGGGGCTGGTCTCCTACTCCTTTGAGCCACAGGCACCTCCCTTTTTTTTTTTTTTTTTTTAGATAGACTCTCACTTTATTGCCCTGGTACAGTGCCATGGCATCACAGCTTGTAGAAACCTCCAACTCCTGGGCTTAGGTGGTTCTCTTGCCTCAGCCTCCCAAGGAGCTTTTCAGGGTACTCTTAACAAAATATTATAGACTAGATGGCTACAAAAGCACATTTATTTCTCACAGTTTGGAAGCTGGGCAGTCCTATGATATAAATATTGTAGATTTTTAACTGGGCGTTGTGGAGGGCACCTGTGGTCCCAGCTACTTGGGAGGCTGAGGCAAGAGAATCACTTAAGCCCAAGACTTAGAGGTTGCTGTGGGCTGTGATGCTATGGCACTCTACCGAGGGCTACATAGTGAGACTCGGTCTCTAAATAAATAAATAAATAAAATATTGTAGATTTGGTTCTTGCTGAGGGCCCTGTTCCTGGCTTGCAGATGGCTAATGGCAGAGAGCAATCTCTAGTGTCTCTTTTCATAAGGGCACTAATCCCTCATGTGAGGGGTCTATCCTCACAACTTCATCTAAACCTAATCACCTCCGAAAGGCTTCATTTCTATTTTATTTATTTATTTATTTATTTTTTTTTTTTTT